TACCATATGATTTCACCTACATGTGGAATTTAAAGAAAATAAACAAACAAAATAGAAACAGACTCATGGATATGGAGAACAGACGGATGGTTTTAGAGGGGAGGGGGTGAAGGGCTGGATGAAAAGGGCGAAGGGATTAAGGAGCACAAATCGGTAGTTACAAAGTAGTCACAGAGATGCAAACTGCAGCCTAGGGAATATTACCGATAATACCGAGGGCCAAGTAGGTACGTGAAACATTGCGGGGGGGCCACTGTGTAAAGCACATGATTCTCTGACCACTCTGCGGTACATCTGAAACGAAAAAAGAATAATGCTGAATGTAAACTGTACTTGAAAAACAGAAATAAGCTCTTCTTGTCATAACACTGCCCATGCATTTATTCCTTATTGTATTTGTGATGGTCTTTCCCCCTACGAGACGTGGGTCTCTTGAAGGGAAGGGCAAGAGCCATGTTTTATTCATCTTTGTAAGGAATGGCCTCCACAGGCTTTTAATGAATTAAATGGAATCATCACAACCCTCCCTTTGTTGAATTATATTTCTTTTTTGCAGTGTCTTGGCCTGGCGTTCCACGCAGAGTGATTTTCTTTCTTCGTCAAAGGCTGGCAGGGAATGTTTGGGGTCGGGGAGAAGTGGGGAACGTGGGTCACCCCTTGGGCGGGGCTGGCTGGCTTCCCCAGCACCTTGCCTGCGGCTTCCCCCGCATAACTGCGCTCTTTCCCTTTTGGCACCTCGGGGCCAAGATCCACTTCTCCTTCTCGGGAAGCACACTCAGATTACCACCACGCTTTCAGCAGAGAGCGAGTCTCAAGACAATCACGGCCCACAGAGGAAAGGACATTTTCCCACAGAGTCCCCCTGTCCTGTGCCAGTTAGGGGCTGGGAGACCTGAGGGGTGCGCAGTGTGTTTTGCTTGTGTCAGAGTTGGCATTGCTGCCCTTCCTGAGTGTTGGAAGTCGCCATGCGAGGGGAGCAGTGGCCTGGGACACAGGGAATCTCTTCTCTTACCAACAGATGGGAGATGGCTTGCAGGCTTGTAGCTAGAGAAGTGGAAACTCCAGCTTACCGTGTTTGAAGAACACGTGGACGTGCTTGTTTTGCAAAGAGCACTAGATTCTGGTGACACAGTTGGGTATCAGTATGTCTCCAGGAGGATGCTGCTTGGCCCTTCCTGTTGGTGGGACACACGGGGCTGCAGAGAGTGTTGTCCGTGCAGCCAAATGAGAGCCCCTCTCAGAGCCAGAGTTGAGGGGAGGGCAATGTGGCCCAAATCTGAGCGCTGGCCTCAGAGAGGAGGGCCTCTGCCCTCAGACGGACATGGGGGGGCTGGGTAGAAGAAGAGGGGTGAGGTGTCAGTGTGCCAATGTGGTCAGAGAGTCAGGGGAGGGCTCATCCTCCTCTCCTCCCACCTGAAAGGTGCAGACACACCCAAGTTGCTCAGAATTGGGTATGGGAACCCCTTTCAGATGCTGCACCTTTGGTTAAAGACATACTTTTAATACTTGCTCCTTACTTTCCCAATGAAGGGCTCATTCTGTTATTTGAGTATTTGGTTTTTCCATGTCAGACACTGTTAATTGATGTCCTCATTCGGGAGGGGAGGAGCTGGCTTTCCCATGCCCTGTTCCCATCCAAATCCGAGGCCCTCCTCCCCATCCACCCACCCTCTCTGTAAAGTTGTAGCAAACATTTTATTGCCTCAAAACCCAATGTTTACATCAGTATAACTATATTGTTCACAGCCAAGCTGAGTGGTTATTATGGATACATAAACGTCTGCAGAACCTGAAGCCCATGGTCTGCTTTTCTCCAGAGTAAACCTCAAACCTCAGGCTCCTGTTTCCGACAAAGACTCATGACCAGTTTCCCGTGTTCCGGCCTCATACGTCAGCCCTGCCCTCCCAGGTACCTGGGCCTGCCCAGTGGCTGGAGCTCTCCTCGGGCTCTCTGCTGCCTTCTCCCTGCAGGCACCTGGGGTCAGCTCTGGCTGCTCTGATCCCCCCACACCTGCATTTGTGTTCCAGCTCCCTGAATGTTCTAGGAATCCCTTGCCTGTGTTGTCTCCTTTCCTGTTCACTTCGTCTTTGTTCTTGCTCCTCAGAACTTGTTCCCGTGTGAATGGAATGTCCATCTCCCCCAAATCGGACAGGCACCTTAAAGGCCTGCTGTTCATCCAAATGGCTCCCGCTGGAATATTTGTCATGAATAGAAGGACGTCTTTGAAATGCGCCAGATTTCACTGAAGCAAAGCGCGCTGGGGACCTGGCCCTGCAGCGCAGGTGCAGAGGTGGGAGGCCCTGGCGCTCCGGGGTGTGTTGGGGGGAACACTAGGCTGGCACAGTCCCCGGAACAAGGAGGGCGCAGACCCCAGCTGAGGAGGGCTCGCTCCGTGAGAGCAGCGTGGGGAGAGAGCAGCGTGGGGAGAAGCGGCAGACGGGCGCTGCAGGAGCAGTGTTTCTGCAAGAAGACCGTGGGTAGGAGAGAGACTGAGAAGATGGGTCATGTTGGTTTTGTGGAAGGTGCACAGCTTCACCAGGTCAAATGTCTTTCCTTGCACATTATAAGCAAGACCCTGCAACTGGAAGAAAGAATGTATAAGTCCTGCTCTCCCGGTTGCTTAGCAACGGCCTTTTTCTCATTCGCTGCAGGTCCCACAGGGCTGTTTGAAGGTGGGGGCACAGGGCGGGGGCTGCGGGGAAGTAACTACCTGGTCTGCATAATCAGGAACCTTGGGCCCTGCTGTGCTGGAGGTACCTGTGTTGCAGATGAATGGGGTACTTCAGGAAACATTTATTTTCCTCATCTGAGGTTTGTTCTGTGGGTCTCTGAGAATTACCATTTACCCATGAGAGATATATGTTTGTACATGTGTGTGTGTTTACAGTCCTCTGGAGGACAGCCAGAGTTCACATCCAGAAGTCGGCCTTCTTGGGTCCCCGCTCTGGAAATTGTCCAGTGTGACCCCAGCATCTCTCCTGCTGAAGCCCTCTGAGAGCTCCCACCTGGTTGGAGCAGCCCAGGCGCCAGTCCAGGGCCCTGGAGAAGCAGACGCCAAGACGGGGTTCATGGGGCCTGGGGGGGAGGGAGGGAGGAGGGCAGGAGCTAGCTGAGCCACCTCTGAGCCACCGCAGGGATTCAGGGCTGACCTTGAGCGAAGGACAAGGCCAGACAGAGGGGAGGCTGACACATCCTAGCCCTCCCTGGAGTTTAAGGAGGGTTCCAGCCAAAGTCGATCTCAGGGGAGCCCCCTCCTCCCAGCCAGGGCCTGTGGATGCTGGCGCCCTGCTCAGCCGCTTCAGAGAGTGGAGCCAGGGCCCTGACACGGTGCTGGCTGCACTTGTGGGTGGGCAGGGCCAATGGGCAGGGTCCCAGCCTGACGGGTGTCGGTGGAGATGCTCACAGTCGGGGAGAGGGGACCCTGGGTTTGGGAGACTGTGCTGAGAGGTGGGGTGGAGTTCCTGCAAAGGCTGTAGTGGACCACCCAGGGGAACATGGAGAGAGGGGTGAGCCTGGGGATGGGGAGCAAGAGTGGGAACCGCTAATGCTCACAGGAGACATTCTGTGAAGGGAAGAGTCACGTTTAGCGCAAGCTTTGAACCGATCCCATTCTTCCCCCCACCCCACCACAACCCTGGGTCCTGCTGCTCCCTAGAGTAGCCCTCCCACATGGGAAATCCAATACAAACTGTTCTACTTACACTGCTCTACTCTTTTCCCTTTGCTCTGACAACTAATTACACTTATAAGTGTCGGAACAAAATCTTTTGCATGGTGATTACCAGCAGGAAAGGTGGCTGGCAGAAGTAGCAGAGGGTAAAGGGTGGATAAATGGTGATGGAAGGAGACTGGACTTATGGTGATGAACACACAATACGATGTACGGATGATGGGTTATAGAATTGTACCCCCGAAAGCTATGTAACTTTATTAGGCAATGTCACCCCAATAAATGCAATAAAATATAAACCATAAACAAAACCCTTCTATTCACAACATCAAAAACAATAAAATGCTTAAGAATAACAAAGTTAGTGCAAGACTTGTATACTGAAAATTCTAAAAAAACCCTTTTCCCCACATAATCATGCATTTGTTCCCATTTTGTCTTCCCTGTGAAAACCGTGACATACTAACTTGGTGTAACTGAGAGGTGTCGAATCACTGGCACTCTGCAGCTCCTCCTGCTCCTTTAATCACATGGACTCATGTCAAGCCTGGTACCTAACACCGTCTCGGGGAAGGAGACAGGCAGTGGGGGGAGGTGTGGCCCGTTCTTACTCACCTCCTGCTATGCCAGGAAGCAGAGCCACAGCTTACTGAGGAGACTGCTTTCTGATGCCCTGCTGGTGACCAGGATGGCCCATGGGGAGCACCATCACAGGGAAAGACTGAAAGATAGCCGTTCGGGAGGGTGGGGAAAGGTGGAAAGAAACCTGACACTTGGGATGTATTGATTTTCACAAGAGTTTACTCAATGCCAAGTGCGTTCCAAGTGCATTACATACATTATCTCACTCCCCACTGCAGACCTCCAAGGGTGAGAAGCTAGGAACTGGCCCCCAGGTGACAGGGTTGCTGTGACGAGGCCTCGTTCCCACCCTGCTTTGCTAGACAGCCTCTGCTGCAAAGCCCGACATTGTGCTAGGGTCAGGGAGACAGATGAATGGCCAAGGGTTGGTCGGGTCAGCCTGAACCATGGCCAATGAGTGAGTCACAGAGAAACTTTGGAGGGGCTCTTTGGCGACCCATAATGCCCCCATCTGGGGGCATCTAGCTGTGGCGCCCACGTGCTCAACCTCTCACATTTGACTGGGTCACTGTCAGCCTGAGCAAACTGACCGTCTGCTTCCCAGTCACGGCTCCATGAACAAATCTTAATTAGCGCCGGCAGCTCAACACCTCTGGTGCATCTAGCCCATTTTACTGCCACGCCTACTCTCGTTGGATCCGGTTCTAAAGTAAACTATGTGTTTGGAGAGCTGTTGCATACAGATGAGTAGGCAGCCAGTCTGAGCTGACCCACAGACTCATAAAAGCCAACAGGGCCTCGGGCACCCCGCACTCAGGACACCCAACCTCTTGGATCAAAGGCGCAAGGACTCGCTCACATCAAGGATCCAGCTGCTTTCGTGGGGACCAAGAAACTCAGTTTTTGACTCAATATTCTGTCAAGCAATCCATGAGGTAAGCAGGAGAAATGCCCCTAGGTAAAAAAAAGGAGTTAATTCTGGTGGAAATTGTAGGCCTCTTTTTTTGTACCTCAAGACTAAGCACAGTACCCATCACTCCCCAGGGGATACAAATGTGGTTTTAACTCACTCACCTGGAGCTCTTGATCTTCTGGTCACATGTGGATTACGCACTGTGAGCTTCATCCCGCCCATCCTGAGGGCAGGGTGCCGGCAGCTTCCCCTCTTGGTGGTGGACGGGTGTGTAGGGCTCCTGCCTCTGATGGCATCTTCGGTTGCTGCAAGACCTTGCGTGATAGCGGAACCTCTCTCGGGCCTTTTCCATCGTGAAGGTAGAGGCTATGGAGACTGGGGAGGTCTAGTTTGGAAAAGGCTAAAGACGCACCTGAGTGAAAGAGGTTAGTAAGACATTTCACTTACCTTCATCAAAATGCCTCTCTTTCATTTTATGATTTCCAGTGGATGCATTTGGATTGCTCAACATTTGTTCAGCTTCCCAAATCCTGCTGGGGGCAAATGCTCTGTGACAGTGAATGCTACTCTTCTGCTTTATAGGATCCCAAGAATGAGAGGCGTGGAGCCTCGGTCCCCAAACATCTCTGTCTTATAGATTCTGTGTATCGTCACTCAAAAGAAGTGTGTCTATTGCAATGCAAGTTTAAGGGAACACGTGTTTCTTCCCCTGTAGTGAGGCATACGAGATGGAGCAAAACACAGTGACCGTGATAAGGAGACTGTGGCAGACAGGGACTTACCCAGCCCCACCATGGGTGCCCTTCAGTCATGAGCTGGGCGTGGGTTGTCTTACGCTACGTTGTTCTGTGAAAATGTAGCTGCACTAAGTCCATCAGCTTTTCCGAGAATGATGGGGTATCTGGGAAGGCATGATCCACCAGCAGAGGGTGGGTTGTTGTGTTGTTTTTTTTTAAATACTGAAAGCACAAAGATGGATTTTCTTGTGTTCAAGAAAGCACAGCAAGTCAGTCTGTGTGCAGGGCTGAACTAGCAAAGAAGCACAGTTGAGTGTATCACTAGTGAACGATTCTTGGAGCTTTGGTGCTATTGGTGGCAGTTGGTTTTCTCTGCTTTTTAAGTATATATAACATGCTGTAGTTGCCAAGCATCCTTGGCTCTGCAGAGTAGAGACTCAGAATTCCTCAGGCGTGCCCCTTTCCTTTTCTCAGCAATTCCTTTTTCTTTGCTAGGTTGCAGATCTACCCTGGACCTTTCCCCAGCTCAGTGGTTTCCAAGGGCTCCGCTTTGATTCCAGGGCTCTGCCTTTTCCTCGCCCTGTGGCCTCCATGGGTGGAAGGTGCCCTCACTCCTCAGAGATCTCACCGGATGGCTTATTCGTCTCTGCTGTTTGGTCCTGAGTGTGGCCCAGCTTTCACTCTGCCTGCTTCTACCACTTCAGATGCTCATGATGACTGTCTTTCTTCTCTTCATCATCATCCTTCTCACTGACGTTGTTATTACACGTACAGGGTTTGCCCCTCATTTCCTCTCAACACACTTACAATGAACACCCACGATGTTGTGGGAACTGTGCTGGGTCCTGGTCAATTATGCAAATAGCCCCTGTTCTCACGGCCCTTACAGTCTAGCGGTCATGTCAGTCTAGCGGTCATGTCAGTCTAGCGGCTACATACGTGGAAATAGGATAAATGCTGTGATGAACAGGGACAGTTACCTGCAATGTGGTCATGACATAATCATTTTTTTTAAGATCTATTTATTTTTAGAGACAGGGGAAGGGAGGAAGAGAGGGAGAGAAACATCAATGTGTGGTTGCCTCTCTTGTGCCCCCTACTGGGGACCTGGCCTGCAGCTCAAGCATGTGCCTTGACTGGGAATTGAACTGGAGACCTTTTGGTTCACAGGCCTGTGCTCAGTCCACTGAGCCACGGCAGCCAGGGCAGACATAATCATTGCACTCATAGGAAGGACCTCCTCTTTTGCCTACAGAAGACCTCATAAAAGAATGGGGTAGGCAGGTTGGGGCCTGGTGGGGCCGGAGGAAGGGCATTCCAGAACAAGGAAAGGCATCTGCCAAAAAAAAAAAAAAAAAATACAAAGGCCCGAAAGAGTGTGGCATGTATAAGGAATACCAAGGTGGCACTGCTGAGGTGGGTGGGGTGGGGTTACGTGAGGAAAGCTGCGACAAGACAAGCTGCAGAGGGAGACCACGTGATGACAGGCCTTATGTGTGATACTTAGGAGCTTGGGCAGCGTCCCCATGATGGTGGGAGACCGTGCAAGGTCCTATTTGTAAAAGGTTGCTTTGTCTGTAAAGAGCAAGGCAAGAAATTTCAAGGGAGGCCAATTCGGAGTTGCTCTAAGGCAGGATATGCAAGGTTCAGTGGCAGGTTGGCCCCTGGGATGAAGCGTGGCTCTGAAATAGGAACCCAAGCCTTGACTGACCTCATTCAGGAAACTTCCCCAAAGTTCAAGTGATGAACAAACTTTGAATATAGAAGAGCATTTTCTTTGCATTAACTCCTACCCTCCATATCCCCTGGCCTCTTGGCCACAGCGAGATGAGTTGACGGCCCCCCTATGTTAGGGGGAGGCAGGGATGGTGTGGGGTGGGGGGCTGGTCTTTCAGCTGCCTCCTCCTCAGAAACAAGCCCACGGTCTCTTGCTTTTCTGCACTTTTGCCTGGCGTGCATGTCTGGGGAGAAGGAGCATTTTCAGCACTGTGAGTGTGCGTCTTTTCCCCCTGAGTGCCTGGGCCTCAGATGAGGCCGAGGGTGGCAACCTCTCGGTGCACAGGACACCACCCCCTGAGGAACGCTGTTGGCGCCCTGGGCTGAGGAGCCCGAGCCAAGCACACAGGCAGGAGGTGGCAGGGCCGGGCCGCAGACTGGCCCTTGCCGGGCCGCAGCTTCTCCATGCAGCCCTCTTCCTTCCGCTTGGCAGGTGCGGTAAGAGAGCTTAAAGTATGAAGTTCAGAATATCTGGAAAAATCAGCACTTTTGGGTTTGATTCCTGACCTGCTTACTTCAGACTAGCTGCTTTAAGGTGCCCTAGGACCTTTCTCCCGAGAGCCGAAGTGACTCCTGGGGTCCCGACGGGCACTCAGAGTGGCTCCAGCTCAGCGGCCGTGAGGTCCAGGAAGAACCGCGTGCCAGAATGTGCATTCCGGTGTTAGGTCAAGTCACTACTAATGAGTTTATTGGCACAAAAGCCAAGTTTGCCCAGTAATTGATTGAGGAAAGTTGACTAAGGTAATTAGTTTTAAAGACTTCTTTGTACCACCTTCTCTTGTCCCCACATCATTTGGGCATTTTCAGAGGTGGAGGTGACAGTGAACTTGAGAAGGGGGCTGAGAGAAAGCCCAGAGTCACCATCCACACACACCCCAGGGCCACCGAGACCACTCTGACTTCACAGGTTGAGGGAAGGGAGTATAGGACTATGACGACTTAGGGTAAAGCCGGATGTGAGAAGGCCTTAGACTTTCCCGGCCTGCTCTGTCTCCTGGAATACATGATTCATGAATAATATCCGCTCTGCTCTAGGTAGCAAAGAGTGGGTGGCTCAATTACATTGTTCACGAATCTTTCTGAACAAGCAGGGAGTGTGTGGAAGTTGGAAAAATGAAACAGAATAAAAACAAACACCTTAAAAAAATGGCCCTCGCAGGGGAGCTCAGTTGGTTAGGGTGTCATCCCAGTATGTCAAGGTTGCAGGTTTGCTCCCTGGTCAGGGAACATGCAAGAATCAACCAATGAATGCATACATAAGTGAAACAATAAATTGATGTCCCTCTCCAATAAGTAAATAATAAAATTAGTTTTAAAAAAAGATGATGGAAATTTTAGAGTGGAGACACAGAGGAAGGAAAGCCTAGAAAAGTCAACCATCTGCAAAATATAACCTTTAGGTCAAAGGGCTCACTGGAGTTTCTTCTCCACTCCTGATGGAATGAACCCGAGCCATCCTTGCTGGGTTTATTATGAAGGATGTTCAGAGAATGAATGGCAACCTCCTGGTCATTGCCTTGTCAGAATCCATGAGTTAGCAGAGGGAGTGATGCCCATATACACGCAACTCCCTGATTCTGCTGGAGAATAGCAGAAAGAAACTAAGAACAATGCAGACAATGAGCAACCTCAAGACTATTAGGAATCCAAAGGTGCTCCACTCCAAGTAGTTGCTTCTTGCAAACTCTTACTAAGGGCTCTAGCTGTTAGTATCAAACTCAATCCAACATCGTTACATTAAAAAACAGAGCACTGAAATAAGTTTAAGCAATCATTCTAAGGGACCATCATATCCAGCTCACCCATTGAACCAATGGAGAAACTGCATCTTGGAGAAGCACAATGACCTGCTCAGAGTCTCCAGGAAAAATATAAACCTGAATTCACCCAGCATTGCTTTGGATCAATAATTTCCTCACTCAGAGAAGCCTGTGATTTTCCTAAATCCATTCCCCAGTGGGGAATAGACGGTCTCAATGTGTGTGTCTGCTCTATCCTGCGCCCTGCAGTTAACAAGCCTCGTGAGCTTTGCATTCCAGTCAGATGCATGTCACTCACCTCTGCTTGTAAGAGGAGATGCTTTTTGAATACTCTGTGAAATTACAAGCCTTGGATTTCAATTCTTTTAGAATTTCCCCATGTCCTTGACCCTCCCTCTCTTCCAATTGCACAAACACCAGTGTTTCTTGGCTCGGAGTCAAAAATTATGTCTACCAGGCTATAGCAACATGCCACCCTCTCCCCAGGGAGCAGATTTAAATGTGCAACACAATGCAATCGAAAGCAACAGGTTAATACTGTCTCGCAGTTAGAACAACCAACGCTCTCTCAGGTGACTGCCCCTAGGGGCAGACTCATGCTTCGCTGCCCTTGATTAAATTCCTGGGAGCGTTCTGGCTCTATCCAGATCTGCCGTTCGTCCTTGGAGAGTTCAACAGAGCTGGAAAACTGTGAATAACTGTTGTTAGCGTCTCACAGGAAAAGACTCCCTGAAATTCAGCCCCTTGGA